ATCGTATTCTTGACGATGTTTTGGTTAATCAGTGAGATCTTTGTCGACTTAAGCATAAAAGGAGGTTTCAGAAAGTTGCCGCAAAGCTTCTTTTTGGTAGAGGTCAGCCCGTCAAACAACAGCTGCGCCGCCTTTGTCGGCCGCTTTAATGACTATATCTTTGCGTTTTTTTAGACTTTTTAGTGCCGACCACTCTTCCGAAGAAAGATTGGTAAATTTGGTGTTACGATTGAATTTAAGTTTGTTGATATCGTGACGACATTTTGGAATCTGAAGTGTTACGAAAGTATGTTTGTTCGAGATGTTAGAATCATCCTTTTTGTCATGAAAAAAGGCTTTCAACTGAACGCGGGGAAGGGATTTTTCAACGTCTTGCTTAACTTAAGATTCGTCGATTTTTTTGGAAATGAGAACAAAATTTGAGCCCTTACTGAGAACTGATTTATCTGAGTCGGAAAGTAGAAAATTTTCGGGAATTGTAAACTACAGTTTTGAGGTTTTCAAGCGATGAGTCGCTAGTAATTTGAGGGCCGATAAGTTGGTCGAGTTTTTGGGCTTTAATTTCGTGCAAATGTTTAAAAAGTTTAAAATTGGCATCCTGAATTTTGAAAATTTCTAACCTTTTCGGTGGCTAATTTACGCTTTCAACTCAGTTGTTAACACTGAATTATCTGCTCTACTCTCCCACCGACGCAGCACTACAGTTTCTTCAGAAACGTACCTACTTTACATAGAGGACACTTACAGTGTGGTCAAGCTGGAAAGTCCACTGAATGTGCGTCTGTTAATGTGAGTGATGTTGTTGAAGGTTAGCACCCTAAAAACAGGGAAAAATCAATATGTGTGTGAGTCACACAACTTAGAAAATGTATTGCGAGAGAGTTATGGGATATGGGGAGATTTGTCCACTGAAAAACAAATTAATTTTTGGAACCGCTTGACCTTTTCTAACAAAAAGCTTATACTCTTAGGACGTTTCCAGGAACCTTTCGGTGCCCGGCGGTCTGATCAGAGGTATGCAATTCGAAAGTGTCGACAACCAATCACGGAGAGTGCGTCCACTGAAAACCAAATTAATTTTTGGAATCGCTTGACATTTTTAAAAACAAACATCTTATATTCGTTAAAAGTTTGAAAGAACCTTTTAGTAGAAAATCTTTGAAATTTCTGTCTGCCGGGCATTTAGTCTATTTAAGAGGCTGTCTCTCTTATTTCCACCCGGTCAATTTTGCGTCAAAAATAATTTTTCCTGAAACTCTGTCAACAGAAAGACTTTACCTAGGAAAGAACTAAATTAGATTTGGTTTGATTCGAAATAATTTTCTGACTGCATTAGGGGCCATAATTATTTTCCAGTCCGTAGGGACCGTCGCAACATCTCGAAAATTGAAAAATAGGCATATTTTGTAACATTGTAAAATATTTGATTCGCATAGTTAAGCCACAGAATTTATATCAGATTGCTTAAAAACCTTTCTAGTGTTCCAAAAAAGTTAGAATTTTCCCTCTCAATATATTTGAAAAGGCGAATTTTAGCATATTCTGACCACTAGAAATCGCCATCGGCCGATGGCCGTAAATAACCTTGGTTTAGACGTTAAGTTTTGGGATTTGGGACCTGGTTGACGATTCTATCCTACACAGCCGTTAAGTTTAGACCTTTATAGGTAAAAATATGCAAAAACCCCTGTACTTTTTCGATTTTTCAAAAGTTATGGCCGTTTGAATCAGCACATGTACGAGCATTCGCGATTTTTTCGCCTACACCAAAATCGAACCACTGGAGCAGATTTCGTCATAAATACAGCTTACCCGCTTTGCAGCCCGGCTTCATGGCTCACTTCAGAATTTTTCTAATAACCAAATTAGCGAAATCCATGATAACTTCAACAAATAGCTAGGTATTGCCTTCGAAAAGTAGGCGGCATCCATCGTGATTCGTGGTATCAAAACAAATGTCGGAATTGACCACATTTCGCGGTGAATCACCCATTTAACATCACTGCAGAGCTGAATTTTTTCCAAAATCAGAATATAAACTCTCCATGTCTGGAAGCTGAGGGAGAAATGAAGGTTTTAGGCTTCTGAAGTAAAGAAATAATCGTTTAAATTTAGGTCCAGTTCGATGTTATACTGTTCTCACAAAGGTCCACACAAAAGAGAAGACCGCTGATAGCTTGTGCCGTACGTTGTGCCGTATGGTTTTGTTTTGTATCCCAATGTAATATTTGGGGAGAAAAATTTTGGACGAAAAGAATAAATGCTTTTACCTGGAGTTTGATATCATATAATTAATGAATCAATTTCAAATATCCTGAGCTTGCTTCTCTCGGTTCCGCGTCGATTGTGTCCACAGAAAAGCAACCTCTCAATAGCCGGAGAAATCGGCTACCAACGTGTTAAAAACTTGACACATGCTTCGTATGAACAGATGTTATAAGTCGTGAAAGAAAGTGATCCTCGCAGTAATGTGCACTACTTAGGCAGTAGTGAAAATAAGGCCTGAAAAAAAAAACTTCAGGCCTGTATGGGATTTGAACCCATGACCTCTACGATACCGGTGCAGTGCTCTACCAACTGAGCTAACAAGGCATTGAATTTTTGAAGTGTGTTACTGTGGTAACGTTCACAGAGGTCCTAAGTATCGTAGCAGATTGGATGTGAGACTTTGATCTCTTTGTTAACTTTGTCTACCAGATCTTGTCCCTCGGAATTTTCCTGGACGCATTGGATATCTTCCTCCTCATCCAGCGATATCCCGATCACACCCTGATCTTTTCGCCGCATAATCAGAATCTCAAGGGTTTTATGATCCTCCTGAAAAGCGTGTGGTCAAGCGTCGTTCAAAGGGCAGCAAGGAAACAGAGAGTACAACGCAATTGTTTGAATGCTCTGTGTTTGGATGTGTTGAAGTGTTCGAAACCTTTTCGCAGCTGGAGCTGCACCTGGACGTTGGAAAGCATACAGTCAGCAGGTTAGGCCAGTATGATGCAATCAAAAGGGACTGGGCCCTTAAGTTCTCGTCGATAGGTACCGCTGGTATCGAGTGTTCGAGCTGTTCGTTAGATTCCAGTACACCACTCACTTCTCCCGTGGATACTTCGCCCCACTCGTCTCTACGAACAGGATGGGCCGTAAGCAAACCAAGGGGCAGCGTTAGATTTTCAGAGAAGGTAAAAGAATACCTAACGGCACGGTTTACAAGTTGCAGTGGACATGCGAAATGCGAAAAATGAATCAAATGCACGTTTGTTCACTAGAGAACAGTGGCTGACAGAGAGCCAAGTTCAGAGCTTTTTCTCCCGGCTAGCAGCAATGCGGCGAAAAGATCAGGGTGTGATCGGGATATCGCTGGATGAGGAGGAAGATATCCAATGCGTCCAGGAAAATTCCGAGGGACAAGATCTGGTAGACAAAGTTAACAAAGAGATCAAAGTCTCACATCCAATCTGCTACGATACGTAGGAACTCTGTGATCGTTACCACAGTAACACACTTCAGAAATTGAAAATTTCTGTGAACGTTACCACAGTAACACACTTCAGAAATTCAATGTGGTATTGTTGAGAGCCATCTGTAGTCATTTTGAGATCCCTGTAAAATTTAGAGACAAACTGTCGGACGTGATTAGTGATTAAACAAACTGTCGGACGTGATTAGTGATTTTCAATTTGTTTCGCAGTAGACTTATGTAAACAATGTCTTACACGGTGGCTGAAAGTGTAGAATATGCTCTACAGATACAAACTACCTTTACTTCCGATATCAAGTTCTGACGGCGTTGTTATAGTGTATTATATTATAATATCTAATAGTCAGTGAAATGTTTTGATGAAATCGATTGAAAATTTACCAAAAGCAACACTTATAACATCTGTTCATACGAAGCATTCTCCGGCTATTGACATCGACGCGGAACCGAGAGAAGCAAGCTCAGGATGAAATCATTAATTATATGATATTTTAACACGTACGGAACAACGTACGGCACAAGCTATCAGCGGTGTTCTCTTTTGTGTGGACCTTTGTGAGAACAGTATAACATCGAACTGGACCTAAATTTAAACGATTATTTCTTTACTTCAGAAGCCTAAAAACCTTCATTTCTCCCTCAGCTTCCAGACATGGAGAGTTTATATTCTGATTTTGGAAAAAAATTAAGCTCTGCAGCGATGTTAAATGGGTGATTCACCGCGAAATGTGGCCAATTCCGACATTTGTTTTGATACCACGAATCACGATGGATGCCGCCTACTTTTCGAAGGCAATACCTAGCTATTTGTTGAAGTTATCATGGATTTCGCTAATTTGGTTATTAGAAAAATTCTGAAGTGAGCCATGAAGCCGGGCTGCAAAGCGGGTAAGCTGTATTTATGACGAAATCTGCTCCAGTGGTTCGATTTTGGTGTAGGCGAAAAAATCGCGAATGCTCGTACATGTGCTGATTCAAACGGCCATAACTTTTGAAAAATCGAAAAAGTACAGGGGTTTTTGCATATTTTTACCTATAAAGGTCTAAACTTAACGGCTGTGTAGGATAGAATCGTCAACCAGGTCCCAAATCCCAAAACTTAACGTCTAAACCAAGGTTATTTACGGCCATCGGCCGATGGCGATTTCTAGTGGTCAGAATATGCTAAAATTCGCCTTTTCAAATATATTGAGAGGGAAAATTCTAACTTTCTTGGAACACTAGAAAGGTTTTTAAGCAATCTGATATAAATTCTGTGGCTTAACTATGCGAATCAAATATTTTACAATGTTACAAAATATGCCTATTTTTCAATTTTCGAGACGTTGCGACGGTCCCTACGGACTGGAAAATAATTATGGCCCCTAATGCAGTCAGAAAATTATTTCGAATCAAACCAAATCTAATTTAGTTCTTTCCTAGGTTAAGTCTTTCTGTTGACAGAGTTTCAGGAAAAATTATTTTTGACGCAAAATTGACCGGGTGGAAATAAGAGAGACAGCCTCTTAAGACCATGCCCGGTTGCAGGGCAGTTAATGGGATTAGAAATTCCATTTCACAAGAACAAGAACAAGAACAAGAACAAGAACAAGAACAAGAACAAGAACAAGAACAAGAACAAGAACAAGAACAAGAACAAGAACAAGAACAAGAACAAGAACAAGAACAAGAACAAGAACAAGAACAAGAAGAACAACAACAACAACAAAAACAAAAACAAAAACAAAAACAAAAACAAAAACAAAAAAAAAGAAAACAAAAACAAAAACAAAAACAAAAACAAAAACAAAAACAAAAACAAAAACAAAAACAAAAACAAAAACAAAAACAAAAACAAAAACAAAAACAAAAACAAAAACAAAAACAAAAACAAAAACAAAAACAAAAACAAAAACAAAAACAAAAACAAAAACAAAAACAAAAACAAAAACAAAAACAAAAACAAAAACAAAACACAAAAACAAAAACAAAAACAAAAAAAGACAAAGACAAAGACAAAGACAAAGACAAAGACAAAGACAAAGACAAAGACAAAGACGAAGACAAAGACAAAAACAAAACAAAAAAACAAACAAACAAAAATTGATTGCATAGCATGAGTATATTTCCCTCAACTAGCATGCACAGTCTTGTTAAAGCGAAGAGCCTTTTGATGTTTTTCACGTACTGCAGCGCAAAATGGGAAGATCACACACAAACCCAACAGTTTGAGTCGCTTCGATTACTTACGATCTGAAGTAAAACGAGAACCGTGGGAGCAAATCAAGTTTTGGCTGATTGAGTAAATTAAATTATCTTATGTAAACATAAGCTGCTAGATCGGTCACTAACACCTTTGCGGACGAAAATAATTCAATTCTGTGCTTTTCTGTGCTGAAAGTAAACTCACTGAAAGTACTGCTTCATATATTAAATTGCTATCGGTCAAAAACACTGAAAGACCTAAATTCATAAAATGATGTCATTTTCTGAGTAATTATTCTTCTTGGATAATGAACATAAGGTAGGATCGGGTCATGGTTTGAACTAATGGAAATAAACCTCCAGGAAAACTCTTTATGATGTCCTAATTCAAAGTTTTCATGTTAAGGTAACTAGCATCCCTTGAAAATTAAAAATTGATAACAATGGGTTGCTTAGCTAAAATGATATGATATCACTGGTGGTCGACCTTTGAAAGAAAAGAATTCAAATGATTTCAAACATTTTGGTTGCAAATAACAAGGACTGCATCATAAGATCAGAAGGTTATGAAATTCGGTTGTCACTGAGTTACATAGCCATCAGTTGTTAAACAACGTTTTAAGAGAAGGAGGCAATCTCGACCCGATCATGTATTATTAAATGTAAAGTTCATTTGCTACAAGGTTTTCCCGATCTACTTACAGAATGTTTAATTGATCGAGTCCATTAAATATTCCATCTGGTAATGACTTCAATTTATTGAATGACAAATCACTATGGAGAAATGAGAAAAATAAAGTTATCGAAAATAAAACATAAGCGAAAAAAAAAAGCAATCGATTATGAACTTTTTAATATCTCTTGAAAAACCCAAGGGGAGACATAACAACGGTTGGATCAAAAAAGGTGCTACAGGTAGATTCATCCTCAGTTAAAGTTATCTGGAAATTCCTCCTTATTTTCTAAGTCTTTTTAAAAAAGTAGATCTTAGCGAAAATTGAAGGGACAGTTGCATTTTCACGTCTTTCCTTTGTAATAGAGGAAATCACGATATGGAAAATATGGATACACAGTAAGAGTGACTTCTTTTATATGTAATACTATCAAAAGACAGCCACAGAACGAACACTCCACTCTGTTTGTAGTTTTGGTTACTCACAGGCTCCATATTACGAGAGTATTGTTAAATATGTTCGGTGGAAGGTGATCGATCCTATTGTTAGACAACAATCTACAAGATTAAAACAGCATTTTCAAACGTTAGTAGAGCTGGTGCACACTTGAATATAGGCATCCAAAGAAAAGGTAAACCGGTTTCTCTGTAAGTACCCCCTCCACCCACTTAAAAAAAACCAAACAACCAAACAAACAAAAAATGAAACATTCAGTTCAATAGGGAACAAACGCCTACAGGTTATAAACGTGTCCAATTCCAGAAGTGGCAATGCTTGATAAATCTGTGATCTGATTCTCTTGTAGGTTTCTGAGAAGAAAAAAAAAGAGTTAAGAGCAATTAAATTTGACAGTCCCCCGTTCTAATGACGATGACGTTCATTTGTCATACTAACTGGATTAATACAAGGTTATTATTCGAATGATAAATATTTCTTTTATTTCTTAACACCTGTCTGTACATTTAAAATTATTTTATAGCTCACCCGTGAAAGATATTATCTACATTCTGAGATAAGATTACTTCCCATGCATGACAATAAAAATGACTGCTATATCAAAAGATAACAGTTACCAAGAAATTTTAATCTCTTGTAGTTACTTACAAGGAACTTAAAGTCTTAGGACCTGTCAAATCTGGTACAGATGTCAGCTTATTATTGTCCAACCAGCTACAAGATCCAGACAAACGGAGAAATACGTATTAATATATAGATTTAGTCAAGCCTAAAAGCGGAGCCCTGGTTAGTTTATTTTCTAGCCCCTTGTTACAATAAGAACTGTGATAAAACTCTTCAGCACTGACTGTAGAAGAGTTTCTTCAAGGGAGTTAAGAGATGGGGGGATGGGGAGGGAAGGAAAGAATTGGCGAGGTCTGGAATTATCAGAACTTGTGGTAAAACGCATGCTAGTCAGCGGTATCTTCAAGCAGCTAAGGACTTCGTTGCAGTTTCTGATGTTTTGAGCAAATTTTCGAAGATAGAGAATCTTTTCTTCTTCAGAGGAAGTGTGCGATGTCAGCATCAGTTGAAGTTACATACTTTTGAGCACGAATGATAATTTTGGTTTAGGAAAATGAGCTAAAATTGAAAGAAACGACTGTAAAATACTTCGAGTTTGGACATCAACAGTCGAATGAAGAGTATAGACGTGATACCAGTGAATTAGTAAATCAAGACGCCAGAATCGTATGGGCTTCTCTTATATCTTCTCTTGAAGTTGCCAGGTATGACTGCTTGCGCCATAATTTTTTCCCTAACGATTCAACCGCCTCTGTTTCCCATACATCTCAAAAGGAAGAGAAATAAATTTCAAGTTTCTATTTAAATTAAAAGGGGGATCATTGCTTTTCCAGTTTCCCACCCTTTAAAACTCACATACCTTGTGACCAATTCCTTATATCAATGTTTAGTTTGGGTATGAGTATTGGTAGGAAACACCATGTGCATTAGTGAAAGCTATAGCAAGAGTGTTTGATGCAATTTAAATAATAAAATTACATGTTACAATGTAGCAACTTACACAGCAAAATTATATAATCACACAATTCCAAACAAAGAAAGTCAGGTAATTGAAGGTAAAGGTAGAAATAAATAAATATGGTTAACAGTTACAATTAATACAAAGTTGATAGTTTAAAAGCTAAGAGATATACATTGCAATCATCACATCCTATATATTTTAACAAAAAAGGGTCAGTTACCACTAGAACTTCTCCCAAACATTTATACTTACAGGAAATCATTAATTTTTGTCACTAGGTGGTAATGTACTTACAATAGTTCTACTGACACAAATGCATTTTTCTAAAGTTTTCTCATAGCTTATGATTGTACAGGTCATGTGGATGGTTCCTGCTTGGTATTTACCAAATGCTCAAGTTTCAATAGTAGTGACCTAATTGTTACAGTCAAGTTCACTCCTTTTTGAGGCCATCTTCAACGTGATCCTGTTACATATGAAAACATCAAATGTTACTCACATAATCAAATACTTGCTTGAACCAAAGTTATAATTTTTTTAATAACCTGCTTCCTTTAGCCCTTTAATCCCTGATAGTGACTAGCATCTAATTTCCCCCTTCAATATCACCCCTGAATCAAACATTAAGGTTACAAGAATAAAGGCAATAATAATGAACTGAAGAGCCTCTTGATTGTTAAATAAATTCTCCCTGCCAGCACATGAGGAAATTTGTTGAGAACAGTATGGAGAATATTCATATTGATGTCAGGGTGTGAAGGGTTTATAGTGCTCCAAAAATAGTAAATAGTATTGGAGAGAAACCAAGAAAGTTCTTATAATATTTTATGTTAAATGAAACTTTGTAACGAATGTTAGTTGCAACAGCAATGAAAACATCTGTGAAGCTACAATAACAATTACCTTTCCACGTAAACAAACCATAATGAAGCATGATATTGATAAAATCTAATAAACTTACTAGTGAATAGGAAAAAGCTCAATGTGTTTTTCCTGGTTCTGTCATTCTAAATATCACAAATCAATCATGCCACCACTTCAGTTTGATTTTTTTGAGATGTGAACTTTTTTCTTATGGTCATCTATCTTTAGTATCTATCTTTTACCAGCTGATATCTGAGAAGAATCAAGTCCACGCTAGTGATTTGACACATTGTAAGCAAACCCTAAAACTGATTAAATTTTATATGATCAAAAACATGAAAGGTAATGGAGGAAATTGGTTAGCACAATAAGTTTCTACCATAGGGTAAAGTTTACAGTTTCCCTCTTTTCACTGTCTTCTGTTCATCTGTTTGCTTTCCTACCAATCTTAACTATCGTTGCCAACAAATGCAAGGAGCATATAAAAAGTGTACAGTTATTAACACTCTAATTTCTAAGAGTGACTAGTATCTAATTTCTACTTCGCCAATATCATCCCTAAATCAAGCATTAAGGTCATGAGAATAAAGGAAATGATAATCAACCAAAGAACCTCTTGATTGTTAAACAAATTCTCCTTGCCAGCACACCAGGGAGTGTATAGAGAACAGTATGGAGAATATGCATATACTGATGGTGGGAGAGTATAGCAAGTAGTTTAGTGTTAACAACTGGGTTGAAAACGTAAATTAGCCACCGTAAAGGGTAAAAAAGCTGACGAAGGGCTAACGCTCGAAACGTCAGCTTTTTTACCCTTTACGGTGGCTAATTTACGTTTTCAACCCAGTTGTTAACACTAAATTACCTGTTATATGTGTAGAGTATTACTTGAATATATAATTGTGGTTAGTGCAACTGCCTGGTAAACAGTCTATGGTCTTCTACTCTTCCACCTTGGGGGGTGCCTTGTGTACATAGAAATTGAAGTTCAGTGCCTTTACCAACAACAGCAACAACGAAAAATATTTTTCATGAAAGGCATCTCTACAATGGTAGGTATGCACAACTGACATGTTTCAGTGAAGCATGTCAAGCATCGAGGTTAAATGATTGCCAGTTTGCTTTTCATTACTTGCAAACAGCTTATTTCTATCAGCTTTGAAAACTTCTGTATCCTCACTTTGGAAGAAAAGCATTTTCCATGAACATTTAAACGTTAAAGACATAAGCTACCAGCAATATGTTTCTCCATTGTTTCATAACATCAGATTCTCATCACGTTTTTTTTGTTACATTTGAAAGCATGAGAAAATTTAATCATTACAATGTAATGAAAGCCCCCATTTTAACTGTTTGAGTCTCACTAGTGACCTACACAGAATTCCTCCTTACACTATCAGTACAATATCAAGCAGACAAGTGATGAGAATAAAGAAAAATATCAATTAGGGGATAATTGGTTGATCCAATTCCAAATTCTCCAACCTAACATCACATAAATTGTATGACAGACAGTAAAGAGAATTACTAATGAAATCTTAAAAGTTAAAGGGTTATGTAATCACATGTACCAGAAAGACAGCAAATAAATGTAACATATCCTAGTAAAGTGTTCTTAAGTACAATGAAATTTCAAACTCATTGAAATTAAGTTGACTTCATGATTCAGATTTTAGTTTTAGAAATGTGTAATATCGCTTTACATGGATGAAAAGAGAATGCCATTTGAGAATTGTAAAATAGTAAATGCAAAAAGCTTAAAGATGAAATTTAAAAAGACTGCTAAAAGATGGCATATCTATTCACTGAGATTTTAATCATTGGCTGGCACACAGAGATCTAAAAGAGGCTTTGTGAAAAAGACCAGGGCAATAAAATTGAAGATTCAGGAGTAGCATATGACATGTAAAGAGAACTCTGCAACATTCCTGTTTTATCTTCTCACACTTGAATTAAAACAAAATTTAAGAGCTAATGTTAACATGTATCAGACAAACAGCGGCAAGTCGCCCAAATTCGTTTTCTCTCTAACTTTCATGCATTGTAGCCCAACATGTCCTAATAATTTTGGTGTAGTTTTTTTGTGAAAATATATTTTAGTTTTTAAGAAATGAAATTTTTCGTTCGACCGCTCAAATATGCAAATTTTCATCCTGAATATTACCCGAGTTGTGTGACCTCATGTAACGAATTTACTTGACCTCTGGTATTTCTGACGGTATAATCCTTTGTATTATTTGTTTTATCATAATTCCCTGACATTATTGAAGCTGGAAAAGAAATGTTTATTTTTTAGTGAATATTTTTGTCCTACATACTTTTTCTATGTCGAAAAGTAGCATCAAAATAAAGACAGTTTTAACAATGACCGATATGACAGAATCTACTGAGCTTCTAGCTTTTAAAAGGCAAAAGGATGGTTATAAAGTTACTGTAAAAATTTCCTTGTGTATTTGTGTTGTTCTATCGTGAGACGAACTCAAAGTCCGGCAAAATTTACTTGCTTGCGACTATGAAATACACATAGTGTTCCTACTTGTCGCCACTGGCATATCGAGGCATAAATCACTATAATTTGTAAAAACTCTTACCTTGTTTATTTCTGATTTTATAAGACCAGTAAACTGTTTCGGTTATTATATTACGCTTGGGTATTACTTTTTGCCGGAAGCCCAGGTTTTACGTTATGTTTTCCCCTATCCCATTCATATCAGAAACTGGTCACGCATTAATTGATACCAACACAAATGATATTTACCCTGTATGAAGATTTTTGTTTATGTTGAATTGACAATATTACAATATGTTACTTTTGTGGTCACTAATCGTTGTTTCAGAAGCAGCGTAGCAGTGCAAAGCGGGCTATTGCTTCAACGCTATTAAAATTTATAGTGTTCTGGCAGGAGAGCAAAGCGTGATGCAATGGGAATAAAAACTCTTAGGGGCCTTTACATGATATCGGAATGAGTTTTGTTCAACAACGAGTTCATCCCGGTTGCCACATGATACCAGAGTAAAATTATTCGAAACGAGTCATTTCTGAATGAGTTTATTGAGGTTTTAATTCCAGAATGAAACACTTATTCTGGACGACCTTTTGTACCTGTAAAAAGTACACGCGGTACGATACTCATATCTGTATGAATCCTCTTTAGGAGCGAGGGAAGCATAGAAAAAGGATGTAAATACTTGTTTTTACAAGCTAAATTACCTTGCATGTAAACGCGGTATGAAATTCATTTCGTTCCGGAACGAAACCCATTTTGGAATAATGTAAAAGGTACCTTAGGGACGGACCATTAGATTTTTGATGCGGGGGGGGGGG